CAGAGTAGAAGGAAGGATCAGAAAAAGAAGAAGGAGTGACAGCCAACAAAAGGTACAACCAAGCAGGATCCAGATAAGAGCCATGGAGGCAGGGCTGAGCAGTACAGGAAAGACAGGGTAGAACACAGGGTGTATGTACCTAACATGCAGTGCAAATAAGAGGCAGAAAAGAGCTCCAGAGTGGACTCTTAATACCAGAAAGCACAGGATTCTCCAGAAATATCAACCAAAACCCAAACAACTTTTCAGAACTTCTCAAAAGTTCTGAAGTAACTCTCTTGTTGTGTCAAGGCCACACTAACCAGAAGTGCATTCTTATAGTGCTGCCTTCTGCTTTGCCTGTCTAGGTTATTACTCAAAGAACAACTTAACTACTCCTTTTGATTATTTTCATGTGTGTGTCTTTATAACCACTGGATTATAAAAATAATGTATCTAAGCCACTTTCTGTGCCAATTAGCAAGTGTTCAAAATACCTCATCCTTCAAATGGAGCCAAGAACACAATTAATTTATAGCCCGTTTATACATCTGCCATTCTCTAAGAATACAGAATTAAACTGCACATCTTAAACTCTAAAGAGACTATTACACCATTTTCATTTCAAAAACATAGATACAATTAAATACTGCATATATGAATACTGGATTTAAAAAGTGAGGAATTTGTTTGCTGTGGTTAAATTGGGGAAAATCCTTTAACAAAGGCATATTTAAAACATGATTTACAGAACATTCAAGATTTCACCAAGCAGTTGTATATACAGTGGTGAAAAATTTCTGTCATAGCAAGATTAACTAAATCCTAATATCTACTCTTCAATAGCTCACTTGCAATCTCATTTAGCAGACCATCATCATTATCATCTTTATAAGTAATTACTGAAAAGGTAAATTCCCATTAGAAAGATGATCTGTTTTACAAAAAAAAAGTTATCCAAGTTTTTGTTCCGAAAATTTTTTCCCCCAACTGCACTGCCATTATTACTGGTAGATAATCAGCAAGTAAATTTCAGTAGTGGCTTCATTAATGGATTTTAATTTCATTTTCTGCCTAAGGGACTCAATAAATTCAAAGAAATGAACACAGAATTTGAGAAGTACTTACAGAGATGATTGGGAACATAGGACAGTACCTGGATGGATACTACTAATCTTTTCACCGTCTTAACCTCCTCTCTGCCCCTTTTCAAATGCAGGTGCAAAAGCCTCCCAGTGTTTAGGAAGATTTTAGTTTGCTAATTTTCAAACAGTTTAAGGAATTAGAACTATGATTTTCCTATAGCTGAACTATCAGCAACCAGTGGCACAATTCAAAACACCATACCTGTGTTTCTGTCTAAACCGATGACATTTGTTTTCACTCAGCAAACTATTTTTAGTAAGGGAATCAACAAGTATATCCTTTACTTTAACCAGAGTTAAGATAACTTCCCTCACATATATTTTTATTCATACACAGCTATGCTTCAGATTTTCCTTACAATTATCCTACATTACAGTAGGAATAAATTATTCTCTCAATCATTAATACTTATCTCATTACAGAGAAAAAGAAACAAATCAGATTACCAGCAGTAAAAAGCCTGAAGATTTGTCTGCAAATCTTACTTCTAACCAAATTCAAAATCCTATCCTTAGGCAAAAATGGGTTTAAAGAAATTTGTTAATATAAGTGAAAGGTGGTTGGTCAAAAGGATTGGACACAAATGTCTTCCATTCTCCTAGTTCTGGTTTAAATACATTTCATGAGTGCAGACTTCTACAAAGTGCCCTCCTATGGTGGTCCAACTTTTTCCTAATGAGAACAAATTCTGATGAAGTACACCAATGTCCCACACAGTGCTGTTTTTTGGAGAAGGTAGAAGACCAGCTAACACAAATGGGTTGGTTGTATGCGTATAAGTAAGATGATATGTGTGTTGTTCTGTAGAAATAAGTGATTATTTTAATACAAGATTGGTACTCATCTAGCAATTGTTAAGCTTTCATTTTTAAACTACTTTAAAATGCTAAACTTGCTAAAGATTAAATGTAACTAAAACATACAACATTCTTCTTCTAATTTAAGCTTTTTAAAGTATCATTTATTTATTATTTAGAAAGCAGCACTGCTTCCTTTATTGAGTGTCTTAAATAACTCATATCAAATATGATAAACACCTACTTTTATTCTTTGGAAACAGATTAGATTCTGTTCTTTATCATTAGGACAGCAGAGACCAGGGCGATGACTGGCAAATTAAGACTACTTGTGCTTCACAACAAGCGGAGAAAAATAATAGGAGTGCTGGGACTGCTGGAATGAAATAGCTAGGAGAGGTCATGGTGTCAGGCTTATGAAATGTAAAGGTTTAACAGAAATCTAAGTTCTTCAAGTAAGTGTTATGAAAGGTTATTCAATTAGAATTATATTCTTATGATTTCAAATATCTAATAAATATATTTACCTTCCCATCATAAGACATTTTACTGTGATCTCCAGTACTGAAACAGGCAAAAAATGTCCATTGCTCCTCAAATATTGTGTTAATAAAATTGAAAAAACCCTTCATTTAAAAAAACAGAATACTGGCGAGATGCCACAGTAACTACAACAGCAATAAAATAGTTAAATGTGAAGCTCTATTTTGAAGTTGCTCTCTCTAGAAAACTTAAATTTTAGACAACTGTATCTACAAATTGGAACACAACTTTATGATATAAAGGACCATTCCTTTTTGGCAACACTAAGGAATATACCTGTCTGAATTCCACCCTCCTCCCACACATTCTTACAGAAAGTATAGCTTTTTTGAGAAGAGATTGGGGCAAAAAAGAGAAAGGATGGGAAATTGTAACTTTTCCTACATTTCCCCAAATAATTGTGAGATGCATTTTTCCCCCCATTCTCCAGCCTTTCCTTCTCAGCTATAGAAAAAAATATACCATTACCCATTATAGCAACTTACACACTTCTATGCAGCACGTTACATACTCAGTATTCAATTCCAAAAAGTTTGCAGTGACAGCACTGGCAAAAGCTAAAACGAGCTCTAAAATCAGTCATCTAAAGAAATCTGTTAGCTTTCTCAACAACACAAATTTGAACTTTGGCATCTGTTTTTCACAGATCTGGATTCTGTGAAGATTAGGAATTCTGTTACACCAGCAAGGACTGAAATTATTGTGTTTGAAGAGAATTCCTGTTCCTCGGTATAAATGCATTCCCTATCCATTTTTAATGGGTTTATTTAGAGTGCAGTGAGAATATGGCTTCACAACACTCCTCCATTTCCTATTTAATTTCCTTATGGCATGTAAGGGCAGGTTGACTGAAGATTACCTTTTTACATAATCCAGAGTGCCATATTCAAAAGTAAGCAAACAGAAGAAATGTATATGAATTGAAATGCATCTGTCTGGGATGTAGCTATCTGGGTCATCTAGGATCTAATAGTTTTCTTCCCTCTATACTATGTTCGGTATGGTCCTTGCCCAAAGCTAAGCCCTGACTGACTAAATGTAACCTTCCTGTCATGACAATGACAGCTGGCTCCCAGCTATACACAATTAGTCCAAACAATGTAAAAAAGCAATGTAGATTTTCTTCCTGAAATGGAATACACCAGGTTTGGAAAGCTATGCCAGGTCTATACAATTTGGTGAATTACAAGTCTCAGACTTCACATACCATAAGAAAAGATCTCCTTCCCACAAAGTTCAAGGACGATGTTACATGGTCATACATCTTACAGCTAAGCACTAAGAGGAAACATTTTGCTATTTTGACATGAATTCTTGTATCATTCCCACTTACTTGGGCATGGTTCACAGTGTGATTTTGGTGTGTACAAACTACATTTGCTTTCTGAGGAACCTAAACCAGAACTTCTGCTTCATGTGTATACCATAATATGGTATTAGTCTAAACCAATGACTTTGCTCCTCAGACATTTCGACACTGCTTTGTGGAGGACATATAGTCTAGAGAACCAGAAAAAACCTAGTCTAAAGTTAACTCCTCGAATTCACACTCTATAAATGCAGAAGCACCTGCAACAACAGTTTTTGTGCACTCATTTGCTCCTACTGCATTAAATTATTTGTCACAGTAAACAAAACCTAAGACTGTAGTATAGCAGTATTAAACGTCAAGGACACTGCAGGTATTTCTCCTGTGATTGCATAAACCTGTTATCTGTCTTATCAGTTATATGAGTGAGTGTTCCTCTGAAATTGCTTCAGCAATGGGATTTCTATTGACTTTCATATCAAAGCAGATGTAGTAGCCTTTAGTAAGCTTTAGTAGCTTATGGAAAAATAAGCAAAAACCTCCACTGTTTATGAAGCAGCTCTGCAAACTCATCCTGTGTTTTCTTATCCAGGTAGCACACTTAGCTACACTGCATCATGTCTGCAGATGAAGAAATTCCACAATTAGAATTTAGTTAACAATTTTCTTGATAAGTGAGGATGATTAAAATCTAGTTCACTCTCCCTTAATTGTGCTGGCTTTACTCAGATAAAAATAGTAACATTTTACTACTTTTACTGAAGAAAAATCTTCCCAAGACTGCATCAACTTACAAGACTATATATTAGCACAGAGACTTATCTGACTCTTTCACAATATGAATAACAACATAATTAAATGCAGATAAACTCTGAGGGTACATTACATTAAAAGAGGCACAACTGTAAAACTTTCGCAATATAAGCTTTCTTGCCAAGAACACTTCAGGAAGTATTCTCTTGTGCACTAAAGAGACTTCTATATCAGACTTGCTGAGAAGCATTTACATTAATAACTATGATTCCCCAAGGCCAGGATTTTGTTTACTGTCTTTGTTGGTGAAGAACTGATCAACCATCTTTCCATAGGAATCACTGCAATGTCATCAGACATTACAACTCCAGGAGCAATTGGCAAGATGGGAGCAACTCCTCCCATGAGCAGAGCAGCACACTGCCTTCACACAGTACATGCACCTTCGGGAGGAAAGCGAAGAGACAACAGACCTTCAGTGTTACCTATTTGTCTCTCTAGATCTGCTGCTTCATCTGGTGTTGCACGTGGGAGGACACCAGGATCACTGAAACTAGTGCGCAGCAGGGTCCCCATCACGAAAAAGAAAAGAATCCCACCAATTGCAGGTATAGCAGGTGTAATCTTCTCTGACAAATATGGGCAACTGGAAAAAGAAAAAAGATTAAACATAATCAATAACACATAATGCAACTTGCTCTCAAAACATGATTACCGTTATAAACACATATGAGGAATTCACTTTCTTCTACTGATACATAACTTGTCTCAAAATGTTTACTGAAGCTGAAATTTCTGCTTAGGTATTCATGACACTTCTGAAATTTCTCATAATCTGTTTAATATAAAAAAGGTCCAAATAGCATAATAATGACCTCACTAAATACAATGTTCATAAGAAAATATTTATTACAGCATATTATAGCTCATGTATTTGTTCATCTACTGCCCAATTACATAAAGTAAATTGGGGGGAGGGGGAAAGCAAAGTAACCTGAAGTTAATCAGCAATAAAAGTCAGAGCACACTATGAAATAAGCCACACTGAAAAAAATGTAATTAAGTCTATAAAATGAATTTATCATCCATCACAAAGATGGTGCTCAAGAACTTAGAGCTGTGACACATTCCTTTAATACCCTTGGTATACATCAATATTATAACACCACTGCTAATTCTCTTTCTTAATCAGATTTTGGTAACTTGGTACACTTGTTAACTCATTTACAAAGATGACTGCAAAAGACAGTGCAACACACTTGGAAACAAACAACCCAGGGGGGTCTAGGGCAACATCAACAGCCCTTTACCAGCACAAAAAAAAAGGCTCTACAGTTATCAGATTTACAATATACATGCAGAGCTAAAGACTGGACCACAGTTTTAGCAAATCTTTCTCTATGCTTCACTTGTAATAAAATCAAAATGGACAGAAGCACTGGAATCTAAACAACACAAATTACATATATATATGTCTTCACAGCTGTGCAAAAAGAAGGGATATGAAAACTTGGACATTACACAGTGTACCACTTGTTAATCTGAGTCACACAATAAGCACTGCAGGATCATCTTAGAAAACACACAGGCTGAAGGCTATCTTTATAGCTCTTAGATTAAGTAAAGGTGGGCAAAACACAGAGATGGCTTCATCCTTTTCTGATATTTGTGTTAGAAGTCCTAAAATAAGCCTAAACCCAACAGAAGCTGGAAACCAACAAGTTCCAGGCCTTACAGCTTCATCTGAAGCTTCCAGGTATCAATCAAGTTTAATTAAAATTGTCTTCCCTGTTTCTGCTGACTGCCTTCAATGATGATTCAGATGTGCAATCTTTGCACTGCAAGTCAGTTAACCTCACTGGAATGTTCACTCCGAGCAAGTGATGACAATGTCAGCTTCACCATCCATCACTTCTGCTGACAGGATGGGGAGAGAATGGAAACACTTTTCATACCAGCTACCATCTACCAAGCTTTTATCTCGCTGCATAATTCTGTTAAATGTACTTGGCTGTTTCATTGAACACCATGGGTTTCACAGACGAGTGAGTCCAAGCATGTTACCCAGAGCACCATACCATCGCTATGAGTGGAATTCTTCTTTCCCCTACATGAATGTTAATATTACAGGTGTATCAAGTTATGAAAGATTAACAAGACAACTGGGTATTAAAAATAAAAAAGGTGAGGGGCAAGAGATACTGTACTTTCATATAATGAATAAACTTTAAATACTAGGAAACGTACTTCAAATGCACACTTTTAGAAAATATGTTTCAAAGACCCAGATTTATGAAATCAGTGCTAACTAAAGGAAGCAGCAGCAAGACAGCTGGTAGACATAAGCCTTGCTCCCTTCATGTCAGAAAAGTCAGTCAGAATGAACAACCAAAAAGAAGCTTTCATACCACATAAATGTCCTACTGCTCAATTTATTTCCTGCCACAAAGGATTACTGAAACCAAAACTACTCTAATACGCTCAGAGAGGAGTACAAATAGGCTGCAAGAACATATTTTTAAAAGGATTAGAGGGAACATGTACATTAATGAACACTAAATATAGCACAGTGCTGCTATTCTTCTATTGCATTATTCATTACGCATACCAAAGATATTGCAACTGTGAAGAAGTCTGTTGACCAAACAAGAGTTGTATGTGTGCGAAAGGTACCATGAGACAATCTCAGGGCAGCACAGTAGGTGCAACACAGTTTAGACAGGTGCCAACACAAAAACTGCAATGGCATCTGCCTACACAAATTCTCAGTGATGCTCAGAGAATGGAAACTGAAGGGCTATCATAACAGTGACACATTTTAACAGTTAGTTCACAGGGAACTGGTAGAAAGAACAAATTCCTGTGCTGAAAAACTGAGAAAGCCTTGCACTGCTGTAAAAGTGATGACTTCACTATAGTAAAAAACCATGAAAATGCCTCTCTGCCTTGCTGAACCAAGACCATCTGTAGAAAAAAAACCCCTAAACACTCTCAAAGCCTGTATGCTGTTCACCAAAGGCAAGTGTAAGGTAATCTGCTTCACCTAACACTGTTCTCAGCACTTCACAACCTGTGTTTTATCACCTCTGACTTGCAGTAATGTAGAAAATACTGAAGATGTAATTTTTGACAATAATAACCATCTAATGATCCACCAATTAAGAAATTATTTCAAGCTGAGAAACCAGTCCTTACAGAGATTCAGACTGTAAGCCTAGGCAGGACTATTCAATCCAGTCTGATTTATGTATGAACAGACCATATAATATTGCACAGAAGTGCAGAGAGTTCAATAAGGACCAATCAATTTTTCAAAATCCTGTCAATTAAATTAATAATTACAAAACTCAAACCCCAGATACTGTATAGGCCTTTTTATTTTTTCTTCATGTCTGGGGGGGAGGGGGAGGGAAGAAGGGAAAAAAATCTTAGTATCTCCTGAGTTACTAAAAAGTCCACAAAAAATAGCTTCAAATTAAAAATGTGGATGTTAGCTCAAAATTGCCAACACATCTGTAGAACTGCCCTTGCATATTTATATCATTTATATTTTTATACTTACACTTATACTGCTACATTAAGTCAATATTACTATTATTTTAAACAATTTTAGAGTTGCTACTTTTAGAATGGTCAAACACTGTCCACAGAAAAAGATTATTCCCAATATTTCCTCAAATTCCTTAATTAATTTGCTTCAACTCAGTTTGCATCCCTTCAAGTATCAGTTTTCCTCAGATGTTACAAGAAATGTATTTTCTGGATGGTATTTTCAGTGTGCTTTTAAAGTAAACTTTAGAGGTATTTCCTGACAGCAAATCTCAGAACATTCACGCAGAGGGACGCCCATGAAGAGGACTGCCCATCCGCAGCACCACTTATGATAAATGAGCACAGAGCTCCAGAACAATCTCTGTCCTACTGCAGAGCAAGTAGTGACAAACATTTTTAAATCAGCACTTGGTAACTACTAAACATGAATTGACATCCTCAGTTTACATCTTAACATACAGTAAAGCAAACTATCTCAATCAGTACCTGTAATGATAGCAAGTAATGACTAGGTCCATCCCAGTAAACAGTTTTTATAGGTATTAATTGACCATAGATCCCACTAGAAATTGTTATTGTGGAAATAGCTTCTTCAGAGGACAATGTTTGGATTTGCACACAGCAATGAGTAACACAACCTGAAGTTTTGAATTAATAGAGGGGTTTTATACAAATCAGCCCTGCTTTTTGCTTGGTTTCTCAGCTGTGTTTTTGAAGCATCATGTGAAAGCCTGCATGAGTGTAGGAGGGAAACAAGATCCAGTCTGTCACAGCTAGATAAAAATAACAATACACTGGCATTTAAGAGATAATTATCAAGTATCATCCCTGGGAATGAGGGGTGCAGGAGAACAACAAAAGTAATTCTTACCAGCCAGCAGCCCTCTGAACTTTGTAACCGTGCTCCCTGTGGCTAGTGAGATCAACAGAAGAAAAATGCACATAGTAACTGTACTGAAGAAGATACATAGAGCATACACAGTCAGAACCCTACAACTTTCAACTCCTTCATTAGAAAAGGGGAGGGGAAAAAAGAAGCCTCCTTAAGGCCTTTCCTGGAAAGATGAAGGCTTTCTCAAACAATTCACTGACAGTTGTTATTCACTGATGGGAGATACAGTAAATAACAAATCTATCCAGTGGGAGATCTGGAAAGAGCCTAACCTGGAGAGAGGCTAACCCTTTACTTACAAAAAAACATTAGTAACAAACACAACCACTCATTTAAGAATATAAAAAAAAGACAGAGTTTTTCATACTTGTGAGAAATTTGAGATCTCACTTAATATTTGCTACGATAACAGTCAGAAAGCAATAGAAGTACAGATTTTATGCAAAGATGTAACAGCTATCACACTTAATTACACTAATTAAAGCAAACCCAAACCAACAAAAATCCTCACCCCTAACTAGTTTGGCTGGCAAGGCTGATAATAGGATACTGTATGTCAAGCTTTTCATCAGCATGAAACTCTTTGCAGCAGATATTTTAAGAATCTACTCTACAAGTATATTTTTTGTTTAATGTAATCTATGTAAGTTCGCTGAACCAAGTAACATAAGGGGAAAAAAATA